TCCCTCGCCCAGCTCGACCACCTCCCGGCCGGTGGCAGATTCCGGCATGAATCGGCGCGGCAGCCCGGCCTGCCTCTCGCTCACGATGCGGGAAGGCGGCAGCACGCTACCGTCGAGCGGTGTGGAGCCCCGTGCCATGACGCCGGCGGAGGAGGAGCTTGAGAGCGAGCGAGTACGGCGAGGGTAGGGCACAGGAAACGAAGAGTTAGAGCGCAAGTGGCGAAGGCAAGGGGAATAGTGGCGAGAGGAAGGAAACGAATCTCTTCCTCGGCGTCTTTATACCCTTGCCAACGCTATTCCCGGCTCCTCGTTTCCCGCGCCCACTACCTCGCCCCCTCGTTTCTCGCGCCCACGCCTCCACTAATCCCACTCGCCCGTTTGCGGCGCACGCGGCAGATGTGCGGCCGTGGCAGTTGAGATGGGACAGATCGTGCTCGCGTTAACTACGCTCGCCGACCGAAGCGCCATCATCATGTCTCCAGGCGAAACGAACCGGCTCGTCCCGATTCGCACGCTACTCGAGTAATGTAGCGGTCTTAAAGAGACCGCTCATTATTGACGGTCGTTTTTCCCTTGCCGATGTGCGCGATTTGCGACCACTGGGTTTCTGCCCGCCTGTAGAGACCGGCCCCACCTGTCACCAGGCCTAAGGAGTGGCGTCACACCCGAGCGCTTCCCTCGAGGGGGGCGATCGCCCTGGCGTAACGCCGGGGGCTACTGTCGGTGACATGGGACCGGGGGTATCGTGACTAGAGGCTTGGGCAGCCGCTGTCACCCACGTGGCCTGACCCCCTCGGGGGGGTCAGGCCTGAGGGTGACGAGGCCACCCCTCCCTCTGTCTCCCCGAGGGGTCGGGCCGCTCCCGTTTTGGCCCCGAGGGCTGGGGTGCCCCGACCCCCTATGATTTTGGTGCCACGTGTATAGGTTAGGTGAGCACAGCGGGGCTCACCTAACCGTATTTATTGCGGGTTGGACGAGCGCGCCACGCCGCATTTAATGCAGCGCAGCGCACGCTTATCCGGTCCGTGACCGGTCGCAGTGTGTGACCGGTCACAGACCGGTCAGATCACGGGTTAGGTGGCAACAGGCGGCCTGTCACACGCCTCGCCCTGTCCCGTCGGAATGATGAGAGCCTCCAGGCACTCGTCCCTAAGCCGGAGCCGGCGTGCTAACTCCTGGAGTTAACACGTCAGTCCCGACCAGATTCATGCCAGGCTTCATCGCAACCATTGCAAGGAAGTCATTGTATGAAGAAGGGCAGACGTGCGGCATGCTAAACTGACGCGTGGTGGACAAGAATGATCGATCTGTGACTGGTCTGACGCCGGTCACGTCATCGGCAGACAACCGTGCTCCCACGTTGCATCTGCTTCCGGCGGAGTGGAGGTAGGTATGACCCATCCCATCGGAGGGTCATTGGGACAGCGGCCATTGCAAATCTCCACACATTAATGAAGGAATGACAGGGATATCCCCTGTGTCAGGCGAGTGACGGCGCTGGGCCTCACTCAAGGACAAGCTGTGATTTAGCTTCCAGGGGAAGGCGCAAGCCAAGTTTTGGTCAAGATAGGGTGGGTCTCCACCCAAAAGAAGAGTAGGTAGAAGTGGTGCATGTGGTATCCCCTTGAGATATAGAAGGAGGACCTTGCCCACCAAAGCAGAAAAAGAAAAAAGAAGACAACTCGGAGAATACCTGAGCTCGTAGAGGAGAGAAAGAGGAAGAGGGGTTCTAGAGCCTGAACTCTCTTGCTCTCCGGCTCTCTGTAACTCCTTCACACACAGATCCACCAGAACACAGGAGTAGGGTATTACGCTTCTCAGTGGCCCGAACCTGTCTACATCGCCCGTGTCTCGTGCATTTGCTCTCTCGCGAACATTCCACAGATCGAGGACGAAGAAACTCGCTTAGCGCCCCCGGCCGAACCGGCAAAGGGGGGCCTGCGCGGTCTCCCGGTGAGGAGCCCCACGCTCCGTCAGTCTCTGAATAGGAGTAATTTTTTTATGGCCCGTCTCAGTGAAGCACACCACCATTTTCTCTTCAATTCGTCATTAGAAGTTAAATACTTACAAAGTTGAATTTCTTCCCAAATAAATGTTCTCTTGCTTATTGCAGGCCTATCTCATAATTTTGCAAGACCAACCTTCACCGAGTGAAATCTTTAAATCACCGCCATTCTCTTCAATTCATCATTAGAAGTTAAATACCTCACAAAGATATATTTAAATCCAATCTATTACTCACTACAGGTTTCTACATAATTTCTATGGCCAATCTGAGTGAATCCTTTAAATCATCTCCCCTTTCTCTTCAATTTATCATCAGAAGTTAATTGCTTGCAAAGTTGAATTTCTTCTCGAATATTTGATGATTCTGAACAAAATCTGCTCGAAAGTTGCCACAAATGGTCTGAGAGAATAGTGAAATAAGAAGAAAGTAATTGGCCGAAAGAAAGCTCTGCATTCGATGTACACCTCAAAATAATTTGAGTTTTTGCCGTTCCATATGAATTCGTTGTTAGCTGCAAGTTTCTATACTGATGTACAATTCTTACATGTGTGCGGAGTGCACTAAATTTCCCCTGAACTCCCCTGATTCACAAGCATTTTTAATAGATAAATACAAGCACTTTTAGGCCCCCTTTGAATCAAAGGAAAAACCATAGGAATTCTAGAGGATTTTATCCTATGGGAAATAATCCTATAGAGTCCTTTGAAACAAAGGATTGTTTCCTATCAATTCCTTTGAAATTCCTATGGAATGAACCTTACTAGAGCAATTTTGAAGGAAAATAAGCATGAGGTCTCACCTCATGTTTTCCTCTTCATGTGTCTAAGGTTCCTGCGTTTTTCATGTGTGCTAATCAAACGACAGTTCGAAGACTTTCCTGTGTTTCAAAATCCCATAGGAATTCAGTAAGTGTGGCATTCAATTCCTACGTTTTTTCTATTCCTCTGTTTTCTCAATCCTGTGATTTAAAGGGGCCCATGCATGTGTTGATTCCTTCGGTGTTATGTATATATTAAACTTAGAAGAATTTCTTCTACACAATACAGTTGACCTTTTATTGGTTCATGTAAAATTTAATTGTTCTGTTTGTTTCTTTACAGGGAAGCTATGAAATTATGAGAAGTAGCATGCCTAAGTTGACTCTCTTCTGCTTGATATGATGTCCTGAACATGCATTGTTCAGGTGAGCATAGTTATCTATATTGAGATCCCTTCCGCATCGTGATCGCGTTCGGCCCACACCCCGGTCATGGCCATTATGTCCCCTAAACCTTCCAGATAAACAATTTAAGTACGTCTCCACTGGTATATTTTGGTAGTCATTTTTGGATTTTTTTTTCTCTTGTCTTTTAGAACTTGCCAATTTTGTTGTTTCTCAGGAAATAGTTAAATGAGTATGTTGGCTTTGCTGTTTATCACTACCTAGGAAGACATATCATGATTTCTTTTGCTTATCCAAAGTGTCAAACATTTTATTTTATTAGATCCTATGCTAAACTGAGTAACTGCTGCTGATATCATTTTGTAATTAATACTCTGCATTTTGTCTACATGATTTTGAATCGAGGCAGCAGGAGCAAAACAGCCCACAGTTTTGTTCGAAGGACCCAATGCTAGGAATAGCACGGGGTTAAGGCATTGAGGGCCTCTTTGAATCAAAGAATTTATGTAGAAATTTCATAGGATTCAAATTCTATAGGAAATTTTTCTATTTGGCCCTTTGATTCAAAGGATTGAAGTTTTTCAAATCCTATGAAATTCCTATGGAATGGCACATTGCATGTGGATTTTGGAGGAAATTTAGCAAGAGCTCCAATCTATTGGAAAATTTCCTTTGAGTCTATCTCTCTCATCCGATTCCAGCGTTTTTCCCGCGCTCCAATCAAACGACCATTCTTGTGTTTTTCCTGTGTTTTGCAATCCTCTGTTTTACACTTTAATTCCTGTCAGAATCCTGTGTTTTTCCTATTCCTCCGTTTTTCTACCCTGCGATTCAAAGGGGCCCTGAATATTCCTCTCCCATGCTCTGGACCGTTTTTCTGTTGGCAGTCTCAGTCAGGCATTGCTCCAGTATTAGCTTTTGGATGGCTTTAATTTTATTTTGTGAAATTTGAATCTGATAAAAGTACATGAATAAAAACTTATGTTATTTCTTATTTCATCATTGTAAACTATGAGATCAATCTAGCCCCAGGAGGTGTTTGACAATATTTGAATGTTTATTGAATCAACTACCTCTTGGATATGGGATCGTCTGAGAAAAATGTGTGTTCAATGATCTATATAGATTCTCTCCACTTCTGGGGCTACAGTATTGAGCTTGTTATGAAAATCAAAGCTTGAATTTCCATAAAGAATCATAAAAAAGCCACTTAAAGCATGTTGTATAATATCCAAGGTACTTTAGTTATTCACTGGAAGGGATCAAGGTAATATAAAGCCACGGTTTTGTATACTATACCTGGCACTTCTGATATAGGGAATAGTTTTCACTTTTAGGGAACTACCGATAAATATGTTTATTTTTCCAAATTATCACACCTTTTTTTCCTGGACCATTTATCTTTCCTATGCTAATATAATTATTTGGAAAGTCTCGCAACCCTATTATCTTTTATCTGCTAATATTTCTTTTATATATTTCACAAGGTTGCATAGCTGAAAATTTGCAGCCCAAACATTTTTTCTTTAAATGGCATCCCATAATTAAACGTTAAACTGTTTCTTTCTAACTTATGTATTTTTTGAGCTTGCATGGTGAACTATCAATTCTGAATTATTTGTACTTGTCTGTTTTGTCAATTGACATTCAAGCAACCAACAAGCACCTGAAGCTATCCTGATATACAAACCCTGTGTGGTCTATCTATAAATGCCGATATTCTTTTTATTTGTTTGAATCTTTAGATAGATAATACGCCTACCACAACGTTTTCTTGAATGTGTATACATTGGGAACTAGCATGTATACTTAAAATCAACAACAAGAATGTATGTTAATCCATACATAAATATATCTATCTGGATTGGATGTAGCCAATCTGTACATGTACTAAATTTAAAATAGCGACGGATAATAATGATTCTTCCATAGGAGTGTCCATGACATTAAAAATGCCATTGAAGAGGCAAATGAACACACAAAATATTAGGCAAATAAAAAGGGATTTGCTACACCAATTGGCACTCCTAATGCTTAACATGACTTTTGTGCACGATCTACGTAACAAAAACTTTTACTCTGCCTATATGGTTATATATGTCTATCCGTGACGTGCCTTGCATGTGCACGCTCACTAGTTGGTATAGATGCACAACTAATGAGTATAGAGATGTCCTCAGGAAGCATGGCAACGTGCAATCCATTTGTCTTGAATACTCCCATCTACATCAACCTGGTACTCTTTCGTTAGTCTTCTTTTACAACAAGTGTGAGCAGGCCAGTATTAAAATAACGAATGCAAGGCCAGGCTATCAGGTCTATCAAAGTACAAAGTCACTATTTCTGTATCGTGTTCTCTTTGTGGACATTGTTATGTACACCAATCACCAAGGGAGTTGGTAGCTGGACGCCTGCATTAAGGGATGAACAAAGTATGCTCCCAAAGTTAATGCAGTGATTGCGAGATATGGTAACCGGATGAACTCCCTGTAATAATCTTTGGGTAGTTTCTGTCTTCCATCGATAACTGCAGCAAAAGGAATAACACTTGTTCTCTTTTTCAGAACTTCAAAGGCTTCACCATAGCGTGATGCCAGCCTCCTATCACCATTCCAAACACCAAACAGATGGTGACCAATTAATCCAACGGATGCCGCAACAGCAACTGAATTGCCAATCCATAACGTGTGGGCTAAGCACCAAATTACCTGTCCAACCATCTATAGAATACCATAAAGCAAACCATATTATATGTTATGAGTCAAAACATATGCAAGGAAAGATAACAGATAAAAAACATAGGTTTATATCTAATATCACTAAAGAATTCCATGACAAGTATCTTTAAAATGGCCTCCTGGAATTACCTGTGGATGTCTAGTGATGCGCATTATTCCAGTTTCCCACATGTGGAATTTTGGCTTGTCAACAGCTGCCACTTCTAAAAGATTGAAAGTAGATGGATACAAAAAGAAGAATGAGATGAAAGATGAGAGCCAAACAAGCTCATGGATGCCTGAAATACCCTGAACTTGCCATAGCTGAATGCCATCATACCGATGATTTATAAAGTAGACCTACAAGAAAGGACAACGTTCTAAGATACAGAAGAACTTAGCCATTGAGATGCCAACTGTCCAAAAAAAGGTATGCCAAGCACTTACAACAGTACTAACTGCTAAAGGCAGTGAGATTCCAGCAAACATTACACGGTAAGCTCTCTCCCCTATTATTTTCTCACCAGTTTCACGTAAGCTTGCCATACCACTATGGACGACAGCAAAAATGATGGTAAGGAGCAGCATAGTGACCTGAAATCAATAGTCTTTTGGTAAGCACATTTATCTATTTTTAAAATGTTACACAATAGATACAGCCATACAGGTAGTAGGTAGTACTTGACAGTATTACCATAGTAGCACACACGATGTCAACCATATGTTAAACCACTGAAAAGACAAAAAAAGAAAAAAGAAAAAAGGAACAGCAAAGCAAAATGGTAGAAACTGACTGCTAAATTTAAATATGTAAATTGTCACATTACACGTTTACAACACACATATCTAATTTGGTTTTGAATACCATTTGAAGGGAAAAAATGCTGACTGTAGAACACACACACACACACACAGAGAAGCTTGTTACAACGGAAGGGATTATGAAGACACAAGGCTTTTTATTTCATTAGCCTCACATGCTTACAAGATGTCCATTAACTATTATTGTACTGTTGTGCATATTTTTCCCATGTTATCAGCTAATTATTTTAAATTTCAGTATGCTGAATGTAACCTAGATATTTTACCTGAAAAGGGATTAATTACTTCCACCCCAATGATGAAATCATAGCTTGATAATACCATCAGTTATGAGCTAGTATGATAATTATGGTGAGCCTCAGCAAACATTAGAATTACTTCCTCAAATATTGATTTCGTCAATGGTGTAACACGAAGGATGAAATATGTATCCACACAGAGTTTTGCAAATTTTCTTGTTATTGATTCTTTTAGAGGCTCCTATGCTTGAGAACATACAGCACTTAAATTAAGTCTGACATATCCTCACATTCAGGAAATAAATAGAGAAGAAAGTTGTACAGTAGCCCCAAGTTTTGGGAACTATCACTACATTATTCATCATGTCAACCTTATGCACTGCTCTAAATCAAGTCAATAGGTGATGTCAAACATAATTTTCTTCATCAGCAAGTGTAACTGAAAACCAGCCAAGCATTTCCATCCAGCAAAGAGCTTTGAAGTTATTATTGAAATTCAGAGCCTTAAATCATCAAAAACATTTTTCTGGTACACTTACAACTGACTTTTTCCCTTTAGAAATTACCAAACATCTACAGTTATCGAATTACATGGATAACCCATGAATGATGATGCTCCATTATTCAAAAGGAGCATTTAGCTTACTAAAGTCCATAATTATGGTCTCAAAAGATTGATTTTCCATCATAAATAGGAGTTTGCCATATACCCAGTTTATAGCTTTCATGTAAATATAGGGAGGGAATGTTCAGTTTCACAAGCATCAAGCCTGATCTGTCTTATTTGGTCCAATTTATGTTTGAATTACCGAAACTAGAAGCACACAAGAAATCAATATCACATTCAATTGCTTCATTGGCAGTCCAAACTAAAAAGCGTTGAACTACCTACATGCCACAGAGCATCAAAATGGAATCTGCACTGGTTTGTCATTTCACTAGTCAGTACAGGTTGACTAAAAGCATGCATATTTAGTCCATACTGAATTATTAATTCAGTATATAAAACGCAGAAATATTAGGTTTGGCCAAAAAAAAAAAGTAAAGAGGCTCTCCTCTCAAAGTACACTAATTAACACAAGAGAAGCGAAAAGCAATTTTCTGGAAGGGAAAACGATATCTACCGGCGCACCTCGTGGTTGTCGGAGACGGCGGCGACGGCCTCGAGGAACCTGGTCCCGACCCCGGTGGCCGGGTCGATCCACAGCACGTTGAGCCCCCACAGCACCACGGCGAGTATCCCGCCGAAGTAGACCCACGACGCCACCCGCTGGTCGCCCAGCCGGAACGCCGCCGAGTCCTCCCCGACGAGGCGCGGGGCCCCGTCCACCTCGCCGTCTGAGTCGTCCTCCCCCGCGCCGCCGATCGAGGACCCCCTCGCCCGGGCCGGACGGACGGCGGAGGCTGGGGAGAAGACGAGGCGGGCCCCGAGCAGCGGCGCCGTGGGGGACACCCGGCTCTGTGGCAGGGTCACTCGCCGCTGCGGGAAGTGTAGGAGAAGCGGGGGAGGGGCGGGAAGGCGGAGGAGGAGATGGGAGGCCATCGGCGGCGGCGGGGAGGGGAGAGGTGCGTGGTGGTGGTGGTGGTGGTGGTGGTGGTGGGAGGGGGGTTAGTAGACGTCAGAGTGGTGGAGGCGGCATCTTCGGGAGGAGGATGCGGTCGGCGTGGGGATTTGGAGGGTGGTGTCGACGTGGCGGGCTCCAGCCGTGCCGCCGGCCCGACTACAAAGTTTGACCTTTCGTTGACCGACCTTTTGCTGACGAAAATGGCTGTGCGTGTAGTACATATTTTGCTCTACAGGAGGGCTGTTAAACGTATTTTATCTTAAATGTCCAAAATATAATAAGCATCTTTAAAATAATGCTTGGTCAAATACTTTTAATTTAAAATATTAAATATAAAAAAATATCTTCGCAATTACTCTTAATAATCTCTACAGCTAGCTTTTAAGAGGTGGCTCAGTAATAGATCAAACGTTCACCGGTCTCCTCATGATGGTGAAAATAGCTCGATACCATTGTGACATTGGTAACTTAGGCGTAAAGCGTTAGGCACATAGGCGTATCCTCTAATTCTCTAGCTTTATAAGGCCATCCCCAATAGAAGATACCATTTTTATGTTTCCAAGAGTGTGACATAAGTAACAAAATGTTCAATTGATGATCGAAATGGCTCATATAAATATATAATACTCTATCATATGAGTATGAAATCTCAATGGGAATTGCCTAACAAGTTACTTCCTTCGTCCCAAACTATAAGACATATATTATTTTTACACATTCCTCAGGAATATATTTTGACCATTAATTTATTTCATTTTATTTTCCAAACGAACATGAAATTTTCAATACATAAAAATACTTTAAAATATAAATATAGTGATATAACATATATAATACTTAGTGTAGATATAATTAATATGATTATTAGTTAAAAGTTACGATTCAACGTCCTATAATTTGAGACAATGCTTAGCATCCTATCATCCAATTAGCTTGAGACCATCCTATAATTTGAGACAAATGGAGTACTATGTTGGGGTACAATGCTTAGCATCCTATCATCCAATTAGCTTATTTCCGTTAGTTGAATGGATCGCCCGGTTCCTTAGCGTATAGAGGCTCATAAATCACAAAATTTTCGAGGTAATCTTCTCTCATTATTGTAACCGTTTTTTAATAGGATTTTATTTAATATTAATACACTTTGAACAATATAAGGGGCTAAAGTTACTAGCCTGTATGATTTACATGCTGATGGCTTTTTTTCACTATGTTTAAAGGTTATAGTCTAAATCCAACCCATGTAAGAAAAAAAAAACTGATGAACTCCATTATTTGCTTGCGAGCTTTTTGATTTTTGAATTTTGAAGTTGATTTTGAGTTTTTTTTTTTCCAACATTAGCGCTTTAGTCACAGAACCAAGAACACAGAATAAAAAAGTTTTACCCTAAATTATTTTTATTGTATTCTTCACTTATCGTGACAAAGAGGTTTCATTCTTCACTTACCGTGACCTTCTGGGTGTTGCAAGCAGGCAATAAAAATAAACTAAGCTTATGTTTGAGTACAGATGATCTCGCAATGTAAACTCCAATACAGGATGGCCGAGAGGTGGAGAATTCAATGTCGAGAACAATGACCCAGATCGCGCAGCCATGGCCGATTCTTTTATTGAACAAATAATTCAGTTGGTAGAACATAAATTACAATTATTACAATTAAGGCAGAGCATTATTTCCGTTGTTTTCAACATGCACACTTGCACAAGCAGCAAGTCCTGCGCTTACTCCCCAATGCCTAGAAAGGAAGAAGAGCAAAACGAAACAGAATCCCCAATACAGTCAGTTTGGTAAGCTTTGTCCACTGCAGGCCACCTGTATAACTACAACAGAGGGATCAAGGCACATCATTCGCCGAACCGAGTGTCAGGAGGTGAGTGTATCTTGTGTGTGTATATATGGTAGGGATAAATAAGAATGGTTGCCCCATTTATTTTCACGGGGCATGCAGGAATTGGGGCGGGGAGGGGCAAGCAAGAACATTTTCCTGCCTGAATGTGATACATGATGAAGCACCGGTGTGTGGTGATTCAGAGAAGCAGAAAAAGGATGGACAAGGACCTGTACAGCTTCAGCTCTTTGAATTTGTTGGAGATAATTACTGAAGAGTCAAGAATGGGAGGTAGCATGAGGAAAGGCCGAGGAGGGCTTATGATGCCTCTCTCTCGGCATTCCCATCGCCAGAGGGTATTTGCTGGGAATCAGACTGAGGAACCCGGTGAGACCTTCCAGAGCCTCCATCAAGCAATATTCCTGGATGCCCTGGTGAGGGTGACAACTGATAATGCATAGATGACACATCACCTCTTGGTGATGTTGCACTTCCATACATAAGGGTTCCCATAGGATGGTCAAATTTGCAATTAGGACCAAACTTGCAGATCCCGTAACGAGAATAGAATGTGCAGACAGGTTCTCCCTGTTAGCAGGAAAGAGATAGATGTTAGGGTAGCATCCCCCGATAGGCAAAAAGTACCAAATTACAGATTACTCAAGTATTATAATTTATTGGAACTACTAACAGGCATGAACCACAAAAAACAATAATCAGAAATCCAGTTCCTCGTACCAAAACTTGATAAAGCAGAAAGTAATGGAATTTGCAAGTGAGCTTGTCAACCTAGTACTAAAAGAAACTTTTCATAATCTGTACTACCACACTAGGAAGGGAAATATGCACCAAATACCTTACACAATGAAGTTACTCGGTATAGATATCCAATTTTCAACTCAAATAACTCCAGCTCTCAATCAATCAACAAAAAGCTGTAGTAGTTAAACTCCACTAAATTGAAGTTAGAGAAATAACTGGTTTGATCCTGAATATTACAGAGAAATTGAATACATACTAGTACTAAAGAAAGGCTTATGGGGGGGCTTGCTTACTATGCAAGATACTTCTGCCTAGGTTTTTGTCCCACCTACTGGGCGGAGCTAGAACTAAATGGCAGGGATGCCACTCGCTTGTTTTGCTCTACTTTGGACCGAGTTTAGGCTGATGCGGGTGCCTGAATTTGAACCGAGGGGGTGCACATATGGTGAAAATAGACAGATTATAGCTAAAACAATTGCTTGACCAGGTTCCTGAGCACCCGCCTAATCTAATGTAGCTCTGCCCATGTCCTATGTCACCAGTTCACCACTAACACCAGTAAATAAATTAGAAAATCTCATGCACAGACATGTTGCTCAGTGCTGCTACTGTGGTGATCATAAGAAAGGAAAACCTGTGTTTTGTTTTTACTTCAGTATTAGCACTTTTAACTCACTTTACACCGTATGAATACAACCAATTTTCAGGTTATAACCGTTTCACATAATAGTTCCTCCCACGATAGCTTTCCCAGAAATGCTTTTCACCTACACGGTCAGTACCTTAAAAGAACAGGAAACAAGACAACACATGCAGAAAAAATTGCATGATGGCCACTATAAATGGAATGGTCCTCACAAAATTTGGCTTGAGAAATTTCAACATAAAAAAAAAACCTTACCGGGCGTAGTGGAAGACCAAGTGAATTCAATGCACAGTTTGGAGCAGGTACCAGTCGCTCCTTGGGGTGATGAAACTTGCAAACAGCACCAAACTTACAGTCTCCAGTTTTCATGTAGAATTGACACTCTGGTTGATCAGGTCTCTCAGGAAATATATTTTCCCCTTGTACTGTGTAAACACCGACTGGAACAGAGCCTCCTTGGTATGACTGATACATTCCATGATCTCCCATACCACCTGTTTCACTCTGACGTGAGCCATAGTATTGAGTGGTTACAGGTGTTCGTTGCTGGTCATCTGGAGACGAAGAGCCCATTTGTGCCTAAGAGATTATAAATAAAAAGTCATATACAGTTAAAATGCAGGCAACCAAAAAGAGTAAGTGCACTCGCATTGATTTGTGAACGACTCTTTCATATATAAATGTAATCGAAAATAATGTTCTCCAATCTTGCAGTCATTTAACTTTGAAGGAAAATAATTTGACGAACAATCTGGTAAAAAACAAAACCTAAACCTTAGTCAGAACAATATCAAACTGTAATGCATGTAACCCCATACTGATATATCTCCATTCCTGTAAAACTGAACTGAAAGGAAAGATTGAACAAATCCTACACCAGTACAAATAAAATAGTTTGTATCAAGTACAACTGGAAAAGCAGCAAATGTTTATCCAACAAAGGAGATGTGAATGCACACAGTTGTGAAGGTGAGGAACTGGGGCTAAATTCTACTCCCTCCGTCCCAAAATATAAGAACCTATAACCAGATGGGATGTTTCCTAGTACTACGAATCTGGACAGTTGTACTAGGAAACGTCCCATCCGGTCCTAGGTTCTTATATTTTGGGACAGAGGGAGTAATCAGTTTACTTTATCATGACAAAAATACTATGAGAAATCAGGTTACACACTTGAGATCTGACATCACTTTTTTTTTTTTTAGAAACTTCACATCTTGATATCATTGCAACTAATTTCAAGGATTGAAGATCCCAAATCCAGGTTATTCTTGTTAAAACATATGTTATACCAAGAAGTGGTATAATATCACTGCAACAAAAAGGGTGCCATATCCAATATGCCAAGAAATGCAGATTTCTCAGACAGCTAAATTTTATGCCTCAGGCCATGAACATTTCCATATTTAATTACTTAATATACCATGCAAAATGTGGCAATCCATATTGTCTAGGAGTGATGGAGGTTATAGACGCTAAATGGATCTATCCAGAGTTGCACCCATGTTTAACACAAGTTTGATGGAGACCACTGAGTGATAAGTTCATGATTTCAAATAGTTCGGCACATGTTTTAGTAAGTGAAAAAACATATTGGAGGGTTTATTAGCAGGAAATAAATGGACAACATACATAAACAAACCTAAAAATTAGTCCCCCGACTTGAATAAACATAAAAGTTGATTGTTCCAAATAAAAAAACGGGGCAACTATAAATAAGGATAGTATACTGCATGAAGTGGGTACATTATGAATGATGAACATAAACATAGTAAAAGTAAAAGACCGCATTTCCATGCATTCAGAACAAGTATCAGCATAGCATGCCGAGGAAGAGCATATAATACATAATAGGATAGCGAATAACTGCACAAATTGAAGTATGAAGAAAGGGTAAGGAACATACAGCATAAGGATTCCACCCTGGAACTTGAACAAGGCCCTGGGGAACGATTACTTGTGCATAGCCTGAATGGCCAGGCCACCTGGGGCTTGCAATAAATGATGCAGATCTTGACAAGGTCCAGTTTGTTACGGCCCCAGGATAAGTATGTTGACCAGGAGAGGTTGCAGACTGTCCAGGTGAATACATAGAGTTCCGTACAGCAACCATTGTATTAGAGGGCTGTGGATGATGAAACTTACATGTGCTTGCAAATTTACACTGCCCTGTTCTTAAGTAGTAAGCACATTCCTTCTCATTCTGCAGTAATAAACTGCAAGTTAATGAAAGCTAATCTTGCATGCAAGCTAAGAGGTAGAGAACAGATATTACGATTAAGCAATCAGGTGACAACTAAATTATAGAATTATGGAACAAACCGGACGCATCGGGTAGCCTAGAACATTTAACTGTACACGGTTTGCAAGTGCAGCCTTCTCCCTGGGGTGATGAAACTTGCATGTTGCACCAAACTTGCACGTTCCAGTTTTCAAGTAGTACTGAAAGAGCAGAAAATATGAGAACTCTAAGCATAACGTTCATGACATGTAAAAGCCAGTTTCAGTACAAAATAGTAGAATATCAAAAGATGAGGCATAAATAGCAGTCGAGGTTCTATAAAAAGATGAAGGATATGGCAAATTTTAAAAACGAAGTTCATTTATAGCTGATAAGAATGAAAGGCTAGTAGAAAAAAATACTCATAGAAAAATGTGTTAACAGCTATATTATTTACTAAAACAACAGAAAATATTACATCATAATAGCAAAATGTTAAGGTTGATTCTTCTGAATACATGTATAGTCAGAGAAACAGAGAGTGCTCTTGCAATGTAACATGGTACTGACTGATATTGTTCACAAAGTTATTTCTCTTTAAAGCTAATTCTTGTTAACTTACAAAGAATGCAAGCAAATATTTTTGCCAACCTGCCAGGCTGCCACAAAATATGTTGCTAGGAACTGTACTCAAATGGCTCATGTTCAAAATTTTTTTACTGATAGATTACCAACATTGTAAACAGATGAGCTTAAGTTTAAATTAAACTTAGATCAAACATATTAATTATCAGCCAGAGTATTGAAACCCAGCAAACTGTTAAAAGTTAATCACACACCACATGGCAAAGAAGAAAAAAAATAAGACAAATTGATTTATTAAGTTAATAAAAGATTTAGTACCCACTTGACACTCAGGTTGACCAACTCTATAAGGATACTCTCCATTCATCCTTGCAGCAGCAACAGCCTGATAATTCAATAAAAAAAATTGGGTAAAGATAAAAATTAGAATCAAGCAAAAAAGGGATAAGGAAACAAAATCATATGATTTCTAACATTCAAACAAAAAAGTGGACCATATTTGGCATATCGTTTGCCCAGGTGCTGTCGCATCCATGTTTGTGAAAAGTGCGCAACATACTGTGTCAATAATAACCAAAAAAATCATGGATGTAGGATAATGGTGTTATACACTTTCTGCATATTGAGACCTGGGATGGGAACCCCTGGGCACTTAAATTGCATTCTAATTTTATATTTCTATGCAAATAATAGTTATGAAAAAAATTGACAATACACCACCTATTATTTACATAAGGAAAAGTGGGAACAGCTCTAGCTAGAGTGCGCTATATAATATACAATAGTATACAGCAGAACGTATGGCAGCTTAAATGCATCAAATTAGATATTTAGAAGCTACCTAAATGAGTGTACAAAGTACAAACAACTCTCCACCAGGAATTTGATATAGTTAAATGAGTGACTAAAGAATCCAAATTCTTTGTATGTTTGCCCAATTTAGTTTTGGGGCCACTTCAAATTTCACAATCTTTCCAAGCAACATTATCTTGCAATTTTCAGATTAACATCATTATGAACAATGATGCAATCAATGACCATAAACATTGAGTGGTCTCTTTACAATTTCTGTAACATATGGAGTGGTTGATTCTTAACCCAAAAAATTCAGCAGCTGAGAATTTAGAAAGAAAGATAAAAAGGAAAAGACAAATTAGGTCTATTCAAGATATATACACATTACAAATATCAGCCAAATTTCCGGGACCTAATATGGCCGGTTTTCGAAGCTAGGGGTGAAAAAAAACCGGTATTGTATTTCAGGGGTGAAAAAAAAAACTTTGAGCAAAGTTCAAGGATCAAAAAGACTTTACCCAAACAAATAATACATGATGCACAAGTAACATTACCAGTTTTCTATTTGGGGGGTGATTGAATTTGCAGGTCATCCCAAACCTACATAGTCCAGTCCTCATATAATAACTGCAGTCTGGCTCTCCTATCCGCTCAGGGTATGGAGTGGACTCCATAGACTCTCCTCCTCCTAAAGTCATTTGCCACATTGCTTCTGCAATATCATTGAGAAACATTGTTAACAATCACTTGGCATGACTGGTATACTAGAGACAAAGAGCAATGTCTAAATTATTCTCTCCAAATAGTTAAAATATCATGGTCGACATTTAATAATCCATGAATTCAAGTTTAAATCAATTTGTTTAGAACAATATTAGCACAAAAGACAGAAGCTTGTGCTAGAGTAGAAGCAAACAAAGCAAATCTGCACGCACACTTTATATGACAAATCTTGGTGTGGTACTGTCACATCCACTTACAAGCAATATATAAGGTTCACATGATTTCATCCTTTTCTTTATGGAATCCCCTTCTAATAGCCATGCTAGAGTTGCAGTGAGAATTTTATGTTTTTTAATGCATAAATGAAACAGATTATGCTAGTTCTTAATTATCGTAGAAAAGTATGTGGTACCACATTTAAAGTTTTAAACAAACACTGGCAATATTAGTCCGGATAGCCAACCTTTCTACTGAAATGGAAACTTGGTTACTATGAGTGGAGAAGGGCAAGTTATCAACAAATGTTCAGATACTAATCATGAGTAAAAGAAGACATCTGCCAATTCCTCCCAATGCTTGAAGCACAGGTAAATTACCAGTGAGACCACATAAGCCAGCAGAAAAAGGCCTTGCTATAATGTGAACTCAAGTGGGGGGGGGGGGGGGGGTGGGAAAGCAATTCCACCAAAGTTGCCACCTTTATACCAAAAGTCAAGTAGCTATGTGTTCGTCCCCTGATTCTACAAATGTGGACCTCCAACAAAAACGCATTACCTCAGCCCATCATCTCTGAGATGAGAACGCTCAGTGGAAAACCTCTGACCTCTCACACCAGACACTCTCTTCCCCCAAAGGTTCAAATACTGATTTTTCAACCCAAAATACAAGCATAAAGATCACGCAAAGATATATGACAAAAAAATTACAATCCCCAACCTAGCGTAGTTGCGCAAACACACCAGCATTGAAGCCACCGACACAAGAGAAAACTGAAAAGGGAGCTGGACCCCCTATCACCAAGAACGATCCGAAATCAAGCCCCGGTGTGCTCGGCTCGAGCGAGCCGGAGGGGCTGGAATAGCCTTCGCAATGCCACACCCGCCGCCGCGCATCGAAACCCTAACGCGACCTTGTTCAACCCCAATTCCGCCCCCGAGAAGCGTTATTAACCACAGCCCCGACAAACGATCGCACACACTGTTCCCCGGCGTCCCCATCGAATCGTCCCCTCCTCCCAGGCTCCAACGCGGAACCCTCACCAGCCACCTCCCGCGGGGACCCCACGAGCGGCCACAAACCCCAACCGCGCGCGACATTGCAGCACCATCCCTCGAACCACGCACCAAGAGAACGGAGCAAATAACCCCTCCCCCACCTTCCGCGGCGGCAACCCCGAGGTGGTGGGGCCCGATCGCCGGCGCCGCCGCCGACACGCCACCCGGGGAGGTGCCTCCCCCGTTGCTGTCGCCCTCCCCGCCCCCGCCGCCCGCTCCTGCTCCCGCCGCCATCACGGCCGCCCCGGCATCAATCAATCAGATCAGGGACGCGGCGAGGTGCGCGTGGAGTGGAGTGGGAGGAGTAGGGAAGAAGGGAAGGGAAGGGAAGGGAAGCTAGGCACGCGAGGAGAGGAGGCGGCGAGGAGGAGAGAGGAGGAGACAAGCGTCCATCCCCTGGGCCGAACGGACAGCCAGTCGTTTTGTTCAGCTCCCCACCTTTTTCACCCGCGCTTCCTCCACCCAACCGAAACCACCCCCGCTGCATAATGCCACGCGCACCCCGACCGTGCACACACGGAAAACCAGACCAAGCGCGCCACCTGTACCTGCTAAGGGCAAGATAGCCCACTACTCCAAATCATCTATAGCCAATATAATAGCTAATTTGTACAATAGTTGCTTACTATACTATTAATATCTGGTCCCTATCATACACACATTACGTCCTAGAGTCTGTGCTGCAGCTGGCTATAGATCTATAGCTCGTTGCTCTTCTCTCTTCCTTTATCTCTGTAAAATATCTTTATAGCTGGCTTATAGCCTGCTATTGTACCTGCTCTAAGGGCTTCTTCGAATTGTAGGAACTTTAGAGGATCCATTTCCTATAGGATTTAAGTATTTTTCACTTATTCGGTTTGGAGGAATTGGGCATGTGAAAAATTGGAGGATTTTTCCTTCGCCTGTGATTTCATATGAATTCCATAGGGAACTGAATGTTGGACGTCCTTTTCATTTTCCTATGTGCCGAACAATATGTTGTGGAGATGCATTTGATAGTGCAAACAATATGTTGTGGAGATGCATTTGATAGTGCAGTGATGTGCGGTTTAACCCGGAGGTCTCTATTCAATCCCCTAACACCCCTATAATTTCTTCTTAGAAATTGTTTGGAGAGATGTCTCTCTCTCCAATCTCTTTTTTTTTTGGAATAATGTGTTGCGTATTTTTCATGTGTCTTTCAATCCTATATTTACCATATGTAACCCTAGCCTATTTCTACCTATTCCTATGATTTTTGCATTCCTATGTTCCAAATAAGCCCTAAGACTGTAAGTGGGGTGGGCCACGCCGCTAACCCGCTGGGCTAACCCGCCCCACCAACCCGCTAGCCTACTTAGGCTAGCCCGCTGAAGCTGATGTGGGTTTATGCAGCAAACCCACACCGTCCAGTGACGCTGCAACCAAGGTGCATGACTTGATGCACGCAAAAAAAAATCTTCATCCCGATTAGTTTGTTGCTTCCATGGCATCCACCATGAAGACGTCGAGCCGGCCGGTCTTCGCCAGGTGCCACCGCTAATCACTGCAAAGGTACACGCCCATCGTCCTATTCCCCAATGGCAGGTTGTGGCACCTTGCGCCGTCCACAACCTGCTCGGCACATGCGTCGCTGGCGAAGCAGTGGACGATAAAGCTTCCTCTAACACAGTTGACATCGTCGACGACGTCGAGGACCACGGCGAATGTTGGAGCAGGAACAAACCTCGACCCCTAAGCAGTATGTCTTCAAGCTAATAAGAGGCTTCCCGCCATGGCACCGTTGTAGGCCATCATGATCAATTCATTATGGCGTGATGTGGGCTAACGTGCGATCAAATGCGAGGACTAGGTGAGCAGCCGAGCAGCCATGGCATTGACCGATCGTCATACATGATGCAGACTAACTTGTGGGTTTCAACGGGAATCCACAATAACCCAGCGGTTCATACGTGGGTTCATGCATTTCTGCTCATGGCTTGGCAGGCAATGCGGACACAGGTGAGGCGCCACAACCCACCCCACTCACACCCTTAGTACCTGCCACGTAAGAGCGTATCACAAAATAAGTATAAGGTGGGACCCACAATTATATGTCTTTTTCTTCCTAAAGCAAATACTATATACTCCATCTGTCCTAAAACTTATGACGTCGTATAACGTTTGGCCACTCATCTTATTTAAAAAATTATATAAATATCATTTCTTTTGTTGTGACTTGTTTTATCATCGAAGAAACTATAATTTTAATTTATACTAAATTTTTAAATAATATGAATAGTCAAATGTTATGAAAAATCAACGGTGTCTTACATTTCGGGACAAAGTGGTCTCTTGTTGATCTTAAGTTAGGGCTCACCAAGAAAAATAATTGTTTTCTATCCTTTTAGCATAAAGGATTCAAAACCAACATATGTATTGAAAAGATATAAAGTAATTTTATATTCCTTATTACTAGCTCTAAGGTTGAGGTTAAGCATAGTCATATTCTTTTGTGAGTCTATCTCCCAATGCATAAAGTTGGATAAAAAAATATTAACTTATTACTTATAAGGTGAACTTTACATGCACATTGAAGATGCTCTAAAGCTCACAAAATATGTAAAGCACATAGTTTAATTATGATTTTCTTTGCGATGCATAGTTTAGTTCTTAGTTACTAGTATAAAGCTTATAAAATATATAGGTGAGTTATAATAATTCTGAAGCCATTTTAAAGATAAATATCACTTTCAAAAATTTAAATCGAAATATTTGAAGAGAAATTGATGGCTAAAGTTTAAACATGTTCACTTCACGTATTCGAAATATTTACTAGTTATATATGAGTAGAGGAAGTGTATTGCAGTGCGGCGGTATTGATAGTTTTTTTTGGTCCAAGGCTAGAAGCTGATTGAGACGTGTCATTAAAAAGAGGGAGAGGTTGATCACTTGATCATGAGTTGATGGTGCTGGTGCAGAGAAACAACAAACGCGGCCGGTGGCATTTGCTTAAAGTGGAGCACTCGTATAGGTGCATGTTATGATTGTGGTGTCACTGAGGTTGTTTATCTTCCGAGGCATGCATATTTGTGCATTTGTGGTTACTCGTAGAGGGCTACGCCGCATGTCTGAGTTTAGAAAGATGGTGGATGTCCTATCATTGTGGTGTATATTTGGCATTAAAATGACAATATGAAAACATCGTACTCCTAGGTGGACAACTGGATATTGGACTCAAAGCAACCCCAAAACATTTATTTCATTTAGTCAGGAGAGCCTTCGACCGAGCTTGCTGAAACAGGTCAACAATCGCCAAGGCAAAACACGGCAGTGAAGCACCGATTATCAAAAAACAAAGGCTCTAGACGAAGTCACTAGGCGAAGACGAAGGCCTTCGCCCCCAGGCCAAAGGAATCAAGACCTTAAAGGGCCAATCGAACAAGGAAGGCCCACCTAGGCCCATCTGGTGGCCCAAGAAGATGCCCAAGACCAAATTATCTTTAGGTGTATGTTTACATCCAAATTTGGCACTAGGATTGAAATAGAGAAAATTGCTAATATTTGGGAAATCTGCCGGTTTCCTCCAGAGGGCCGGTTTGACCGCCATGTATGGGCCGATCAAACCGTGGCCTAAGGGCTGGTCAGACCGGTGGCAATGTGGTCAGTCTGATCGGCAGAGATCGCAAGCATAGTAGAAAAACTCGGACCAGACACCGAACCGGTCGACCTCTCGGTTCATGGGTCAGCCGGTCGAACAGTTCAACTGCAGAACCGAGCATATATATTACATGTGTATTTTCCTTTGTCGTAACTCGTAAATGCATTGTAGCCCAGTTGGCCACCGAGGCGAGTGCTCAACCTGGAGACCCAGGGATCGATCCCCCATTCTATTTTCATGTTTATTTGACTAGCAAAAGTTGTAACGGATAAAAGCAATTACCTGTATGCTTCTTCTGTTGTGTGAGAAGTATGCGGTCTCCTGGTGCAGAATTTACATGACTCCATATCATATGATTATCTTGGATTCTATACTTTTTTTACATCAAATAAAAAGGAAATATAGTTGGATTGTTGTGTTGAGTGAAATCAGTGATCTTGCATGGATTTTCCTCGTGAAGTGTTGTAATTATATTGTAATTTTATCGAGTTTTTTTTCAAATGTTTTACAACAGAATTAGCAATAAATACAGTTTTGAAGACTATATTGATATCCCCAACAATATGTTCTCATGACCGGAGTATAATTTTGAAGTAGTAAAATATATACGTAAATTTATGTCAGCGCTAGCTAAAACTTAAAGTTCAATTCTATTCTTCAGTGTCAGCTGCCCTGCCTCCCAGTTTTTTAAGATAATGGAATAGAATATCCCGGTCTTTGCTCAAACCGAACTACAGCCAATTATTACAAAGTTGCACTAAAAAAAGAGCGTAGTTCAACAAACATTGAGAGCATGCACTTAAAATAAAAAATAACACATCTAAGATAAGGAGAACACGTTATTGAAATATATTTGTGAATCTCTAACTATAATTGGCAAGCTGCCCTGCCTCCATACTTGTTTCTTCCCTTGGCCAATAGAAACACTACCCCACAAAACAACGAGCAACCAACCAATGCTATTCCTAAATGCAACCTGCTATTAATTTAGCTAATTGTGGATTAAAAGTGCAGAATCAAGCAAATTCATGTCATCCACTAATCAGCTAAATGCATCAGTAGTATCGCAGATGTAGGCAAAAGCTTGACCTAACCGGGGCGCGCGAGGAATATAATTACAATCCTACAGCCCTACAGCCCTACATTGAGGAGAAAAAAACCTGACATAATCCGAATCAATCTACACTTGGGCCGTTTTTAGTTCGGTGCCAAATTTTTTTTTACATATACAGACACACCATTTGAAGTATTAAACATAGACTAATAACAAAATAAATTATAGATTTCGACTGTAAACTGCGAGACGAACATTTTAGCCTAATTAATCCATCATTAGCAAATGTGGATTACTCTAGCACTTATGGCTAATTATGGCGTAATTAGGCTCAAAAGATTTTTCTCGCAATTTGCATGCATACTGTGTAACTGGGTTTTTTTTTCATCTACATTTGATGCTCCATGCGTGTGTCCAAACATTTGATGTGACAAAATAATTAAAAGTTTGAAGAAAAAATAGAAATCTAAACACAGCCTTGGATATATAGTCTCGTCTTTATTATTATTATACCTAATGACTGATACACTTTGCGAAGGGTTCGCTTAAAGAATCTCGAATTTGTATTGCTCAATTATCTGACCTCATGCAACAATATATTAAATAAACTAAGCACAGCTATTCATAATAATAATTGGGAGGATAACACAAAGGTATGATGATGGCTTGTATGCATACGTTAGTTGGTGCTATTCTATGGATTTCAAACAATGACTTGAGCGCATCTACTTATGCAGTGTAACCCCTTCGATTCGCTCCCTTTTCTGTCACTATATATGAGGCCTCAAACATGAAAAACCCCACTTGAACTACATATATTAATCGATCTATTTATTAGCAAAATGAAGCACCAATATTACGTACGCCAGCCAATCACTTCATGATCCAGATAGAAGATTCAGAATAAGACCCTCAAACAGCTTTCAGCAATACCTTGTCAGCGCATACAGTTAGCAGTCCGGAAACACACCACTTTCAAGCTTCCAGGCAAACCGAACAAGCCATCGCTCTAGACTTCCTCTGCTTTGTCCTGATGCCCAGCCGCCACGCTGCTATTGACGTCTCCTCGCTGCCCACGTGTCGCACGTTCGTTCGCTGATCGCGCCAGCAACCCAGGACCCAATCCTCTCAGAGCTCTGCCGCCGTCCTCCTGCATCTCTCCTCGAGCTCGAACAAAAAACCACCGCCGACGCTATCATCTCCACCACGTCCCTCTCTTTCTCCGCCTCCTCTCGTCGGCGACCAAAGTAAAAAAAAAAAAAATACAGAAGCACCACCGCCGTCTCCACGTCCCAGAAGAAACCGCATCAGCCTGCGTCGCCGGAATTGGCTAACTCGAAGAACCTTAGCTTCTAGCCGCCAGCATCATCAATCATGAAATTCGCCACCACAGTGACCACTCGTTCTCAATTGAAGGTGCCAGCCTCTTCTACGTGTTCTTCCCTCACCTTCCCCGCCGAGATAGCTGTCAGAACTCTCCAGCACTGCCCCATCGCCTTCCTGCTCTGTTCAGCCGCCGTCGGCCTGCACGGTGTCCGGCCGCTCCATGCCCAACCACGGCCACCACCACGCTCCCCTCCCCTTGAAACACAACGACCCCCACCACCCTCACCGAGGATCATCAGAGCCGCCGCCGCCATGGACAACACCACCTTTCTGGCTTTCTCCATTGCTCGTTGTCGTCAGCTTCGCCGCCGTGTGCCCATGAGGCAAATTTTTCGTCCGAAGGAGGTACGTAGCTAGATGATAAACAGAACTGTTTATTTGACGCGCGCCACGGGCGATGATGGACGAAATCGGACTGTGAAATACAAATTTATGGACGACGATGGACGATATCGGATGGTGATGAAAGGAAAAATAAGAATATTTATAATAGGTATAGATAAACTATGACTTGGGCCTTACTATCAGGCCTTTCTAAAGGCCCAGAAGCCCAGATCTTGAATATACGTGGAGAGATTCGCCGGTTCACAATAGGCCCGGTACACCGGTTTACCGGTAAAACCGGCCGGTTCACCCGGTTCATTCTAGGTCAAATGCATGAACGGTCCAAGGAGAGAACCGATCCGCTGAGGTGGTTGGTTCCGGTTTTCTCAACTACCGGTTCAGTCCCATTTTTTACACTATGATCCCAAGTCTGTTTTGTCGGGTCTCGAGTTTTCCTTGCTCGGGAAGTTTCCTTTGGTTTCTACCCTGAGTTGGATGTGGAGGAGGGCCTGTAGAGGGCATGACCATCCTCTATATAAGGAAGGGGCAAGGCCGGTTCAATTGTAAGATAACCAACAATCAATCAATAGAATCGCTTTTTCGATATTGTTTTCTACTTTTCCAATTAGCGTTAGTTTAGTTCGTCCATCTTTGTCGATTTGCACCGTAAATCGTCCGCTGCCACTGCGAGAGTGCGACATCTCTTTATAGGTTTGTCCTGAAAACCTTCCGTTTGCCCACGAGACGGATAGTTATCCATCGTTTCATCTAAATCGGTTTGGCTAGCCGGTTTAATCTATCAAAACCCATCTTGACTTAGCGCTTGCTGGGTTAGGGTGGTTGGCGACACTACAATCACCGCAAGGCGTTTAGGTGGTACGATCGTGCTTGCCAACTTGTCACAAAAAGTTGCCAACATTGTCCTCGTAAATGTTCCTATCATAAGGGTAACCATGTAAATTCCTATGTACTTAGTAACCCTAGGGCACATAAGTCTGTACTAAACCTATAAATAGGCCCTAAGGGGCATGTATTGGTGGATCCCAATTTTTTTATATAAAAATATACTGCTTTTACTTTTCCACTAGAGTGAAGCCTATCCTTCGACAGACGCAGTTGTCATTCGACAATAGTTTCTCACTTCAATTCCTGAGAGCAAATTCATGTTCTTACAGTGTCCAAATAATAAATTAGAGTTGAGTTGTTGTCTCATTAAGTACCACCGTCGTCGCTGCCACCATATCTTTGTTGTTGTCGGGATATAAAAAAAGGTCAGAAGTTTCTGTTGGTCAGGTTTAGAGTTGTAAATTGCTAGGGTTTCTATCGTGTGATTCTGTTTTGTACGTGAGGAAGAAGGAAGGGGACAAGAGTTTTGTAGATTGGATTCGGTTTCCATCTTTCCATACGTGATGAAGGAGGAAGGGGACGAGAGTTTTGTACTTGTAGATTGGATTCAGTTTCCACGAAGTGTGGGGGCGAGTCGGTCTCTGTACTACGTCTAAAGGCTGAACCCTCACTCAGCCGATTCCTCTCCACCAGGAATGTCCGATTCTTATCTAAGTTTGAGTCACATTGTCCCTAAATTTTGAGTCGTGTCAAACATCTAGGTGAGAAATATGAGTCAAAATCTGTTTGCAAAAATTAAACTACGGGACAAGAGCATTCCAGTTTTGCATAGTCTTAATTTTAGGGTTTACACTTTTACATTTGAGTCCCTATATTTTCTATATGTATGTTTGAGTCCCCATGATCTCAAATAATTTGAGGTCCTTGAGTTTATTTTGCTAAAAAGATAAAAAAAGAAAAAAAAGCAGAAATGTGCTTAAAAAGTAGTAAATAAAAGTTGTGCAAAAAAGAGTGAAAGCAGAAAGGTGGAAAAAAAGATAAGCAGTAAAAAAAAGAAAGAAAAGAAAAATTCATTTGTGATATATGATATTGCTTTCATATATCAGAGTTGTGCTTGAGTTGTTTCAAATATAATCTAGTAGTATCATTTTTGTCCAGATTTTCGTCTCTAGTATACGTTCTAGCCTAGGACCAGCATGGTACTGACTTTAAACGATTATTCAACTTTTCATTATCTGATCTGAGCATTTCCTATTCTTTTGTTACATATTTAAGCCTACCAGATCTCGCTAGATTTTATTACAGCGTACAACATGTGTTTGCCAACACATCGTTACATCTAACCTCCATTGGGTCTTGGTTGAGTCAATGTATGTCATCATTTCGGTTGATGTAAGAACTTGTAATGTTCTTACCTCTCCTTTCGCAACTGACCTCTCTTTTTCCACGTGCACGATTTTCAAACTACTAAAAGTATGTTTTTGTAAATATTTTCTGTACGAAAGTTGCTTTAAAAAAATCATATTAATCATTTTTCAAAAAAATGCTTAATTAATCTTGTGCTAATGGACTGCTCCATTTTGCGTGCGTTGAGGATTTGTTCCCACAATCTAGAATGAACACAGCCTAAGAGCTTTGCTAAAAGTTTGAGAGTGTGTAGCTTACCACCTAGTAGTTGATAGGAGTGTACATAATTTGTTATGTTTCTTGTTTTCTATTAACAGTGGCAGGGATATGCAAGACCATTGGACATGACATTGCTTAATATCGACATCTTTATCAAGACATGAGAAGTGATCAACAAGATTTTAATGAGGTACATGATGGTGTTCTATCTAAGATCAGGTCTACACTATCTTATTTTGAAGGAAAGTATGATCCACATGCTTACATTAAATAGGAGCTAGCGGTTGATAAAGAATTTCAAAAGCTTAACTTGTCTGAGAAACATATAGTTATGTATTAAAAATGCTTCTTATTATTAGAAACATATTTGTAGGCCTAACAAAATATCTCAATCTTGAAAAGTCCTAAAAATGATATTTGAGATATGTTTATGTTGCCATGTATTATGCTGATATTCTGCTCAACAAATTACAATGTTTAAAATAGAATATCAGAAATGTTACTTCGTACTATCATGATATACATGCTTGTTTATTACGTTGTGGTTTAGATAAATGCGAAGAAGCTACAAAATTAAGGTTTTTACGTGGGCTTAACAAAGAAATTCAGGACATGCTTGCTTGTCAAAGTTATAGCTCATTTTCTCATTTGCTACAACTTGCTTGCAACGCGCAAAGAGAAATTGAGGATGCAAGAAACAACAAGTTGTACATGTGCCTCCTATTACCAGTAATTTTCAGGAAGTAAACAATTGCCAAAAGGAGGAGAGAAACATGATGTAGCCACCGTTCTCATCCCTGGAGCTGGAGTCCATTGCACCTCCATCATATGAAGAGAGCATCAAAGGTAAACTAAATCATGTTGTGATAAATGAATGTAAGTATTCTCAAGCTGAGTTATACATGTTCACTTTTCATGCTATAGTAGAGCAAACATTAGTGGAACTAATTGCTGAAATTCCTTTGTCACGAGTTCATTTATTTGTTGTTCCTTGCGAAAAAAAAGAGTTGTGTGATAATGCATACGAGCTCCGTTTCCAGCCTATGAGTACTTGATAAAAAACTCTCAGAGCCCTCTTTCCAAAGGATCAAGTCTTATCTCCAAATTCCATCACAGTCAGCCGCAATCACAAAAACAAGGTGTTGTGTCACCTATAATGAGTATATGGGCTTGTAACTTCACCTAGGAGCTTGGCCCAAGTGGGGCCCAAGTGGGGTGCGTCTCAACTTGGTGGAGCACGACCCTAGGGACCCCTTGGTCGTTCTCCCTGTTGGCGGCTGTTAAATGCCGATTCTATACCACCAATATCTGCATAAAATTCAGATAATAAAACATCCAACATAGTGATAGGTGCTTAATCTCACATATTTCACAAGTGTTGGTGTATATTTGTATGCAGATGATAAACCCTGAAGTTGGGAGGAAAATCAGACTAAAGTGAGGAGAATTATGTATCCATACAAGGATGGGTTGTGAACTTCATCAAAACATCAGAGAATCAGCCAAAAATACCGAAGAATGAATAGAGGAAGTCTAGGGGAGGACATGGGCTAAAGGCCAGGTCAGATGGGCCCAGCCCAGGTTCGGCCGAACCTCCTGGTTTAGCCGAACCCTGGTGATCACCGTTGATACCAGGTTTTGGCATGGATGCTCCAGATCACTCCCTGATGGCGGTTGTGGGGCACTTCGGACATTTCCCCTTCGCCAACCGTCATACCTACCTCTATATAAAGGCTTCACTCCCTCACTTCACACACACACTTCCAAGCTTCCAAGCTTGAACTGAATTATAAGATGCTCTATTGTATTATATTGTATACTAGAATAGGAAGAGAGTAGAGTAGAAGAAGTAGGAAGAATTCCGGAGTTGTCAGTAATCTTCTCCTATTTCTTTTATTCTGTTTATTACTCTGAATTCAATATAATATTCTTCCTGAGTAATTTAGATTTATCTTGTGAGAATTATCTCTTGGTTAGTTCCTATATAGTATACGAGATTATTGTTCAGTATAATCAACTAAAATATAGTGATTGATTTGGTGAGTTATAAACACTAAAGTAGATATTAATTGCTTAGACGTGGTGTTTAGGTAATTGTTATCTAGTAATTGCTGCGTATCCCACAATACGTTTGAGGTAGGTGTAGAGGTGGTGACAGCCCTCGAGATCACTTAAGTCCTCCCTGTCCGGGTACGTAGTAGAGCGACATCTGGGAACAACGGGTTGCCAGTGCCCGAAGTATTGCATTAGGATTAAAGTCAAGCTTTCCCTAGACATTGTTTCTCACTAGTAAATCCTCTCTGGATGAACCGAAAGAAGATCTGACCACACACGTTCCCTTGGATTCGATACCATTGGAATACTCCGTAGGGGAAGTGCTACATCGGGATATCCGTGCGCTTGTGGATTTTATCGTGACCGTAAGAAATACCAACATTCCCACCTCCATAAATAGCTAGGTACCCCATTAGATTTTTTGGGGTTTTGTTTAGATTAAATTTTAGCAATTAATACTTTACCTTGTACTTACACGTGTAAGTTAGATCGCCTAATTACTTGTCTTCGGAACCGCACCTCATCGTGAGCTTTAATTTCTGCTTATAATTTAGATTACTTTTATCTTGTTCTTGCCCGTTTCTTCAATTTGCTTGCAGGAATAAGGTTGATCTGCATCGGCAAGAACAACAACCCACGGAGAGGTGCATCGATCTCTAAGGTGCAACACAACAACATGTTGTACGATCGTAGTCTTGTTATCGATGTTTCTTCAAAATCGTAGTTATCATAATCTCACCAAAAGATCAGGCCAACCAGAGTCGTGAGTATATCAAGTGAAACTCAAGTTTATCACACACACAGATCTTCTCCTATAATTAGAATTAGGCACGATATTAAAGGATGGAACCTATCGACGAGTGATACTCGCGGACCGGATGAGTAGAGTATTGGGGTACGTTGGAACGAGGGTCTACGTAGTACGACATCAAGCAGACAAAAGACAAGGATTATACTGGTTCAGGCCCCTTATCAGGTAATAGCGCTAATCCAGTTTATATGAGATTGATGATGATGAGAACAGATTACAAAGAGAGTAGTCGAAACAGATGGTGCCGACGAGATCATAGTCGAGGGATTCGACGAGATCTCCCGGCGAGTTGACTCCACGTACTCTGGCTTCGTAAATTTTGGTGGGTGTGTTGGCGATTGAATTGGATGTCTCGAACCCCTCCCAAGGGGTCCGTTTTATACCGTGGATCATCTTGATCCCCAAGAAAGGTTTGAGGATATCGGATCTGGTACGGTATAATAGAAACCCTATCTCTTCCGAGTAGGACTTTGGAAATCACTTTGACTCGAAGAGATACTTTCCACAACCCGAGTCGGTTTCCTCGTGACATTCATAGGAACAATCCGTATACGTGAAGGTATACCTCATCAATATATTCCATAAGTCACAGGATAGGAGGTATACCTTATCTATAACCCTGACAGTAGCCCCCGACTTCAACTCAAATGAATTCATGTTGTCGTTCATGACTTCTCTCATCAGCGACTTGTCGTACTCACTAGATCGTTCTCGGTATGGACCGAGAAGACAAGGAGTTATTGAAAACACTAACGGAAGTCCGTCTGGCTAATCATGAATTTGAATTGAAGTCTGAACAACCGCCCTTAATGGGCCTCAGGATTTTCGGCGGCAATCTCTCTCCTTCCTCGAAATTCGAACCATTAGGTAGTGCGCTTATATAAAGGGATTTTGGGATCCATTTCAGGTCCGTTTGCCAAAAAATTCTCCAACCTTCCAACAATCTTGGACCTTTCGTCTCCCCCAGTTCCTTAGGTTTTTTCCGTCTTGCTCTGGCGATCTTCCTCCGATGGCGGACCTCGGCATTTCCACCTCCGATCTGGCAACGCTAGCGAAGCTCTCCATCGAGGGGGCCCTTCCTCCAGAGCAAGACATGGCTAGAGAAGAAGGAGGTACTGCCCCCTCCCCTGCCCTAGGTCATATGGTAGTAGTAGAAGATTTCGTTCGTAGTGTCTTTCTACCGCTGCCATCAGAATTCCTTTTGTTGGTATTGAACTTCTACGGCCTTTCTCTCTTGCACCTCAACCCCAACTCCATCGCTTTCTTGAGCATTTTTACCCATTTGTGCGAGGCCTACATCGGGGTAGTGCCCTTCTTGGATCTTTTTAGCTTTTTCTATGAATTCCGATGGATGGAAGCCGGTGAAGTATCAGGATGTTGCGGGATTCGCCTACGCGATGGCATGAAGACGAGATTCATATCTCTCCAGTGCCATACATCCCGGTCCAGGTGGCAGTCCACTTGAGGACCAGCCTGTCCGACAAGACTGCTGGACTTCCAAACCTCCCTTGACTCCTTCTTTGGAAGCCTTCGCGAACGTTATCAGAGAGTTGCAAGAACAGGGGCTAACCGGGTGTGAAGTCATTCAAGACTTCGTCGCCCAACGCATCCAGCCGCTGCAAGCCCGTGCCCATCCCGCATTTGATTATGAGGGAGCTTCTGACGCGACGAGGATATCGTCACGGGGTACTCGTTCTCGCGTCGCCATCCCTCTTATTGCCGATGACAGTATATTTATGCTTTATATCTGATTCTTCTTCGCCTTTTCCTTGTGTTGCAGCTCTCCGCGCGGATGTCGTGACGCAGCGGGTCAAGGACGTCCTGATCAGTCCTGCTTCCACGGCCGAGGAGGTGCCAACCCCGCTCTGCGACAAGCCAGCGGCCGGTGGCCGCCATCAACGTGCGTGAGAAAATAATTTCTGTATTTCCTCTCAATGAAGAACCTGTAACGCCCCACCTCTCCTAGGCCGGGCCCGCTTACATCTGATAGCTTTCATAGGTCATAGACTGCCCTCACAGACCAACACAAGTCTTTTCTGCACACTTTGTGCGCACCCGGGAAGAATTTCCTGATCGGAAGAATTTTCCGATCGATCACCCATCCCAAAATTGCTCCAGGCCACTTTGTGCGCACCCGGGAAGAATTTCCTGATCGGAAGAATTTTCCGATCGATCACCCATCCCGAACTCCAGGCCAAGCACGCTTAACCTCAGAGTTCTTTCGAGTTGGCTTCCCTATTAAGCCCTGGGCCGGGATGTTACATCCTCACCCCCTTAATAGAGATTGACGCCCCCGTCGATCAACCCCAGGCCAGGAATGTCCCCTCTTGGCCACGTCCGTGTGTCCAGTGCCAGCACATGTAGTCGGCTCTGATACCATTTTGTAACGTCCTGCCCGCCTCTGATACCACTTTGTAACGTCCTGCCCGCCTCTCCCAGGCCGGGCCCGCTTACATCTGATAGCTTTCATAGATCATAGACTACCCTCACAGACCAATACACGTCTTTTCTGCACACTTTGTCCTCACTCGTGCGCACCCGGGAAGTATTTCCTGATCGGTCACCCATCCCGAAATTGCTCCAGGCCAAGCACGCTTAACCTCAGAGTTCTTTCGAGTTGGTTTCCAGAAAAGAAGTTGCAACTTGTTGATATGAGTATTCTATTAATCCTATTAAGCCGTGGGCCGGGATGTTATAGAACCCATGTGACCTCAAGCTCTACAGGTCCTACCGTTGATGGACATCATCGGCCCTCTTGTCGATCACCAGGCTTCCGCCTCCCTTAAGGAGAAAGTCACGGAAGAGGTTGTTGTCGCTTCCACTGCCCCTATCGTCGCAGGGGGCAGTGGAACCAAGAGGAAAATTTGGGCCAAGACAAGTGGCGATGCCGGATCTCGGCAGAAGTCCAGCAGCTCTGAGGTAAGACTTGGCGTTCCCCTTTGTCCGGTTTTTCCCCCTTTCATGAGGTGAACGAAATGAAGACACCCTTCGCTATCTTGATCAGGACACCAGCGGCCTCCCTCCTCCTCCGAAGTGGAGGTCTGTGAAGAAGATCATCGGCAAGTGAGTAGAGTTTTTTAACCTTTCTGTTGTCACGCCCATTAGCCTATTGACACCATTTTCTGATGTCGGTAGGAAGACTTCGGCGATCTCTGCCCAGAGCGGCGACGAGGTGGCGACTAGTGGAATTGCCGTTGTCGCCTCTCCTCGTGGGAAGTCCGTATCTGCTGCCGCCGAGTCCTCCGAGCCTGCGGCAGCGACCACGATTGTGGTACCGTCGTCTGGATCACAGGACTAGTCCGAGATGATGGCCGAGTACCGCCGCCTTTTTGAGAACACTTCTCGGGAGGTCGGGGCCCAGATGGACCGCCTAACGGCCCGCGCGATGTCGTCGGATGGGAGGGTGGCGCAGCTGGAGACGGAATTCGAATTCACTCGCTACGACCTCCAGAAGATGAAGGAGATCGTGGCTGGCAACGAGATGCAACGTCTGGGGGTGGAGAAGAAGATGAACGACCTTCAAGACCACATCTTCTCCATCCGCGACCAGCTCCAGAAGAGTGCAGCCTGCACCAGCCTGCACCAGCTAGCCCTAGAGTGCAGCGTGAAGTCTTCCATCCCTGCGCACCCCGACGAGACCTCTCTGACATCGGCGCTGGGCGAGCTGGCGACGAAGATGGAGGCCATCCCGTCGAAGCATGCTGCCAGGGTCTCGGAGGAGATCTCCATCGGGATCCACACTGGGGTTTGTCATGTCCTCGCTTGTGTGAAGCTAGCTCTTCCCAACGTCGATCTTAAAGAGATCTTGTCGACAGGGGTTGCCGATGCCACGCGCGAGGACGTGATGGCCGTTGTGGCGGATCTCGGGGAGACCGTCCTCCCCCTTTTCGAGGAGTAGTAATTTTTCTCTGCTTTGTGCTTCTTCTGTGTAGATACTTTTGTGCTGTCCCTGGTGGAACAATCCCCTTTTCTTAATGTTCTCAACTCGTTAATTTGTGGCATATTTTCCTTCCCGTAGAGGTGCCGATTCCGAGGACATCCAGCAAGGCGGACGTCCCG